GAAAAATGCATGTGCCCAAGTTGCCTAGGGAGCAGACCCTGAGAAGTTGCCAGACACCAAATCAGAAATGAGTTACCATGTCAGCCAGAAATGTGCCAAGTCAGAAGGTAACAAGAACTTGTTCCACAATCATTTACCAAGCACCTCCTTGTGCCAGGCACTGTTCTAGGCTCTGGAGAAACAATGATAGAGCAGAAAAGTTCCCTGCTTTCAGAGGGTTTCCTTCCACTCTGGCTGTGAGGCAATGGACAGTGATTCAGGGGCAAGAGAAGAGGGGAATACCTGCAGACATCTCATCTGAAAGAAGGATGCCAGAAGAGACAGGGGTGTCTCAAACAGAACAAAAAGTGGAGACCAAGTCGAGTACAGTGGCTCCTGTAATCCCAGCACTTTGGGAGGCTGAGGTTGGAGGATCACTTGAGGCCAGTTCGAGACAAGCCTGGGCAACAAAGCGAAAACCAGTCTTTATAAAAATAGAAAAATTAGCCAGGCTCGGTGGTGTGTGCTTAAATCCCAGCTACTTGGGAGGCTGAGGCAGGAGGATCGTCTGAGCCCAGGAGTTCAAGGCTGCAGTGAGCCGTGACCATGCCACTACACTCCACCCTGGGTGGCAGAATGAGATCTTGTATCACAAAAAAAAAAAAAAAAAATGGAGACCAGGTAAGGCCTGCAAAGAGCAAAATACCCTCATCTGAGCAGACCAAAGTAAGGTCTTCAAAATACAGGCTATTTATTGTCAACCCCAAGCATCCTAATTTCCATCTCCAAGCATCCCATTCCACATAAACCCATTTTTTTCCTTTCCAGATGGATAATTTAAGAAACTGAGAGGTTTACTAGGTTTCCAGTGGCTGAGTCTGTGACAAACTAGAGCTGGCCAAAAGCTCTGCCATAAAGATACTTTGCCTAGCAAAACTGCCTCTCAGTAAACATGCACGTTATCATCTGTTGGGTCCAATAAAACCCCTGATACCAAATGCTGCTGTGAATCCAGAGATGTCAAAGTGAGATGATGCATCGACTCTAGGGAATGTTATTGGGAATTAATTTTTATAAATTGTCAAAACTCAGAGTGACTCTAGATTTTAAAAATTTTAAAAAAAAACTTTAGAAGTTAAAAGCCTGAAATAACCAGTAATGATCTCTGACTTTTCAAAGAATGGCTTCATCTGTGTTTATATAATTGAGACAGCCTGCAAACCAGCTCCACCAAGCTGGAGCTGAGAAGGCTCTTATGAGTAAACACCGTTCATTTTATATTGGCTTGAAATACACATCACTTCACATCTGAAACCCTTTAGAACACTTTTCCTTCTAAATACCCATATGCAATTTTTAAAAATACACAAGAGACGCCTAATCTTTCCTGGATAGTAAGAATAGTGGTGATTTTGTCTCATTATACGTCATTGTATTTCAAAATTTGGGGCAATGAATCTATATCATTTTACAAGCTAAAGCCTAATTTTTTTTTAAAGAAAGGAAGTAGAATTTCCTCTTTAAAAAAAAAAAGATATATGGTATGTTTGAGTCTTGTTGCTATTGTTGCTATAAATCCAATCAGAAATTCCAACTCTAAATATTTTATTTATTAAGAGAAAGGCAATGTTTGGAATAGAAACTATTATCAAAGTTAACAATCAAAGACAGTGACTAATTAGACATAGGGCTTTGTGTGTCTCACAGACCCAGCTCAAATACATACAAGCTGTGCAACCTCGGGCAAGTTTCATAGCCTCCCTAATCCACAGTTTCCTCATCTGTGAAATGTCAGTTGTAAGAACTAAAGGGCTGCCTGAGGTCATCTTCCTGAAGGTATGCAAGCCACAGAAAAAATCTCCATTTTATTCTGCTTCTTCCATTTGAGGCAAATATACTCAGAGATGGTGGCTGATGTAAACAAATTCATTGGTAACTCAAAATATTTTCATCTGAAACAGATAAATTTTCAAAGTAAAATGAAAAAACAAGACTAGAAAGAAATTCTGTCCTTATGACTGGCCACAATCCATCCTTGTTCCCAGACACCTGGTGGGAAGAAGTAGGTAAATAACTGGAGGTACCTGAGACATCCTCTGTCAAGTGCCTAGAACAGAACTTGGCCCAGGGCAGACACTCAATAAATGGTATCTACCATTATGACCCCTAAGTAGGTATGTACAATTAAATAGGAAAAGTGTACCATCTTCATATTATACAGCCTAGGCATGGCAGTATTGGTAGGTGTTTTAACTGCTGTATATTGATAAGTGTCCAAATCATTATTTGGGGTGTCAGTATATACTCTGTAATTGGCCAGGCATAGTGGCTTACGCCTGTAATCCCAGAAGTTTGGGAGGCAGAGGTGAGAGGATTGCCTGAGTCCAGGAATTCGAGATCAGCCTGGACAACTTGGTTAGACCTTGTCTCCACAAAAAAATCAAAAAAAATTAGCCAGGCATGGTGGCACGAGCCTGTAGTTCTGGCTACTTGGAAGGCTGAGACAAAAGGATCACTTGAGCCCAACAGGGTGAGGCTGTGATGGTTGTGAGCGTGCCACTGCACTCCAGCCTGGGCAACAGACTGAGATTCTGAATCATGTTCAGATCAAGACATGAGAAATATAAGCAGCCAGAAAGAAGGCAACCAGTCTAACACAGAGCCAACACTCCTAAATTTTGGTTGAAGTAACTACTACCATGTAACCAACACACACACACATATAAAGTGTGCCCTGAAATTGCTGTGTCTCTGATTTCCCTTTTCATGTTCAGGAATCAAATTAATGTGATGGTTTGAGTTGTTTGATCTGAAGAGAAGAAGAAAAAGACCAGGAAAGGAGGGATGGAGACTTGGAAATTGTTACTATAACTTGAATTCAAACACCACACATTCTTTTTATTATTAGAAACAAGAATCTTGCCACTTCCACAAGGAATCTGACAGAACCTGACTTGATAATTGACTGCATTCAGCTACCCCTGGGTAAGGGGTGAGTGTTGAGTACCTGGAGGATAGAGGCCAAGACAGGATCACTAGAACACCAGATCTTCATTCAAATGTTAATGGGCTGCACACACACTCACTTAATTAACCTGTTCTTGAATTATTTATTATCTTCCCCTGAGTGAGAGAAAATTATTCTTTCTGGTTACTTGCCCTGCTTCCGGGGCTAGTTGAGAGGACTCCAGGCCTGACAGAGCTTAATGGGGCTCCCTGGTACTTGACACCCTCTGGCCAAGACAAAAGCAGAAAAGTAGTAAATGAAGTGTTTCTGGAAAAAAAGGAGTAGCTGGGCTTCTAGAGTGCAAATAACTCTCCAAATCCAAAGAAGCCGAGAAAGTCCCTTTAAAACACATTTGCAGAGGTCTGCCGTGCATTTTGGGCATGATCTATTCTTTACTCCCTGTTTAATCTAAATGAGGTGAAGTTTCCATTTCCCTTCAGAACTGTCAACAACTTTGAAGCTCAGTTTTCTATCACAGATAATACCCAGCATTCCAGAGCAGAGGAAGGAAGGGCAGTGGAAAAAATCCCATCCCTTTTAAATAGCAGAATTTTCTGCCCTCCCCCAAATTTCTGTTTGAATTCCTTCTCTGTCACCCCCAGATTCCTAAATCAACAGATTCATGAATGCACACAGTCGGAGAAATAGGGGGAAGCAGCAGAGATCACGCAGGTCAACTTTCTCACTTTAGATACATGGAAGAAAGCCCAGCAAGCACCTTTCCTGAGGTTAAAAGGCCAGAAGCCGCCTCCCCCCGTGGGTATCCCCTCTCTTCCCTGGCAGAGCCTGGGAGCAGGAGCTGCTCCCGCTGCCTAGTTCTATTTTAAGATAAACTCTCACTCTGCAAACCACTTATACAAAACACCAGCATCTCGCCCACCCTGCGATTCTCTTCGGGTCGTCTCCCACTGCATGCGAGCTCTCTGAGGCTCACCAGAACTGTGCCTCCAGGCATTCATCTCAGGGGCCTTCCCTGTCACCTGGACTTCCTGGGAAGGGCGAGGCCATTAAAGGTGGGCGACTATGCACCGGAGTACTTCTCCTAGAGCATCTGACCTCGACCATTCTTCCCACCAGCCCTCTGTGAGTGAGGACAGGGAGCTTCAACAAGCTCAGGGAGGAAGCTCTGACTTCCACTGACTTGCTAAATGTTGCAGTCTTTAAGAAAGGACTGGCTTCCCCAGACCTCCTTTCTCTTCTGTGTACTTCTTAGAAGAGGCTGTCCTCTATTCCCACACGACACCTGAAAAACTGGGCCCCACCACTGCTCTCAACCTGGTGTAGCCCCTGGAAGGGTGCAAGAAGCTTGTGCAGGGGTGCTGGGGGCCTGGCTGAGGTCTGCCGCCTGCAGGGGGCCTCCAGGAGCTGGGGGCTCAGACCGACCCCAGGAGGGCAGAGGAGGAAACGTCGGGGCTCCCCAGTCGGTCTGCGTGACTTTCCTCCAGGCCCTGCTCATCCCCGTTCTTCCCCCAGGCTCCCTCGCCTCCTGGCTTTTCTCTCTTCCCCGGGACTCGGTCTCTCCCTGCTTCCTCTTACCGGGCGCTCCCGTCGCGTTTCCACTTGGCCTCCCGTCTTGGGTAAACGCAACCCACCACAGAGGCTGACATTTTACAGGTTCGGTTGTTATAGTTACTTGACTAATTGCCGGGACCGACGGCGGCGCTTCTCCATCGCCTCCTGCCGGCCGGAGAGGAGGGGGCGGAGAAGTGGGGGTAGGTGGGATTGTAGCCGCCGCTCGGCGGGCCGGAACGGTCGCCCGGGCCTTGGAGGGGGCGTCCCACCCTGGGCACCGGCAGTCCCTCCGCCTCTAGTCAGGGCGCCGAGGGCGACGGCTTCGGGAGGCGGAGGGCTGTGGCCCGCCCCGGGACAAGGAGCGCCAGAGGGTCTAACCTGCAGGGGCGTCCCTGCCTGGCCCTGTCCACAAGGTAGAGAAAGGGCGGTGAAATCAGGGAAGGGGGTGGATAGGGGCGCGTGTGAGGCCAAAGAAGAGTTAGAAACCCTGCAGGTTACTCACGTGCCAGATGGCGAAGAAGATGAGGGCGGCGCACAGCACCAGAGAGAGCATGTAGCAGAAAGCCGCGAAGGTGAAGGCCATGGCTGGCGGGCCCCCACCCCCTGCACACCAAGGCACCCCTAGGAGACGAACACCTCCCTCGCGGACCGCCCTCCCTCGAGGGGACGAGGGGGCAGAAGGGAGCCGCGTCTGCTCGCTCCCCTAGGAGCCGCGGCTCCGAGGGCGCACGGCAGGCGGAGGGACGGACACCCGAGGGTCCGCGACCGGAGGCTGGATCCCCGCAAGCCCGGGCGACCCCACGCCGGCCTCCCTCGAAGACTGGGAAAGACGCGTCCAGTGGCGTTGGCGGGAACTGTCTCCAAATCGAAGAGGAAACCAAGTCAGCAGAGAACGCCTGCAGAGGAGTGCCAACCAGTGGCCCCCCGAGGCCAACACGGCCCGGGATGCGAGGACGCCGCGGAGGCCCGAGCGGGGCGATGCCGTCCCCCGAGTCCCCGGGACGAGCTCTCCGCTTTCCGCCACGAAGCCGAAGGAGACAGGCGAGCGCTTGCTCAGGACCTCCCGCGCCACCGGGGCGCGCACGGAGAGCGTCCGACGAGGCGCTGGGGCGGACCCCGAGCTCCGCCCGAAGCCCAGAGCCGGCGGCCTTCCTTCCCGGGAGCAAGTCTTCAGGTCGCCGGGAGGAGGTAGGTCCCGTCGGCCCGGCGCCCCGGGGCGCGGCTTCCCGAGCCGCTGTGCGCTCCGAGGCGCGCCGGGTCCCGACCCCCACCCCCGCCCCGGCCGCCCC